TCTGTTCTGTTTACCCTAAGGGGGGTTATCGCTGTTCTCCATGCTAGGCTGCATGGATGCGCAGGGAGTTCTTGCCCAGAACAGAACCATACCGCCAATCCTAACTGTATGTTAATTGTCAATCGTATTTGACTATAGTGGTCCTGACAGAAACTGGTTCGATTGTACATTAAATGTCTGTTTTGTTTGAACGTGTTCATTTGTCTTGGCTCAAAACTGCTAGAAACTGTTTTTCCTCGCGGAAGATTTGAGTTCAGTGAGCTAGTAAAGTACCTCAACTCAAATCAATATTTTGTGATAAATTAATAACTTATGTTGCAAGTAGTCATGTAATAAGCGGGATAAATTACATCCAGATAGTTGTTATCGCAAAATAAATCCCTTCAGGGTGATACAAGACCCCTCCGCTTTAACCGGCTGGATGTACATTATCACTTACATAATAACCAGCATTAAATTACTGTTAACCAATGACAAGATTTTAGAAAGGCTGCATTACTACAACAGTACCCTAAAATAGTGCCTAACTAATCACCATTAATCAGTTGTGTCCACTGAGGTGACATTAGCCAAAAAGCCATTTTCAGGTTTACATTTCGATGAAAAATTACAAAACAATTTTTTTCCCCTTTGGAATAACACCGATGAATCATTCACAGGAATTTGTTTCAAGAAAGTCAATAAGGTCCATTTTGATTTCATGTTGACTTCAGTGAGGGAAACACTACAAAATAAAAAAAATGCTCAGCGACTGAGATGAGGCTTAAAAATCGATACTCATCAATAACGGTGTTGACACAGCAAACACAAAGCATGGTTTATTAATCTAAGGCTTGATATGAAATGACAAATCCATATCAGCATTTAAGAAGAGGCATTAACAGTTGACTAAAAATAATCTAAATATTAGAAGGCTGCTCTTTCAAATCTCAGGAAAATTCTCATGTTATGTTTAATTTAACTATGATTGATTTTGCCGGTATTTCTAATAAAAATCCTTTAATAAAAAAAATCCTTGCATTAAAATTAATGTGCAACAAAGCTCAGATAATTAGATTCCTGACATCTTGACAAATCTGAGCATTGTTGGCATTGCTGAGTTGGCTTTTGAAGCTTTAGAGGAGATAAGCGATATCACTGGGGTGGGTGGGGAGTTGAGGTGGTCTCGAATGATAAAAACTAAGAAGCAAGAGGCTAAAGCAAACATCTCCATTTAATCTTTGTATATAGTCTCATTTGTATTTTGGAAAAATGATTAAGATATTTGTCATGTGTTATTATATTCATAGCACAGATTCACAGTACTTTCAGACCTGCACTGTTTTCAAATCCTTTAGGACTTGTCAAATGGCTAAGGTGCTTCCATTTCTATTGACTTAGTTAGAGGAATCCTATAAATGCTTGTCAGTGCTACCTAGCTTGACGACACCTCAATTAGCTCCTTAATCAGCACCCACAGCCTGACCTCCACTATCTTTAGCCTGTAATGATGGGATTTCTGAGAGCTAGGTTGCTACATGTCACCTTATTTGACTTCCTCACACCCAATCCAAAATCAAAACACGGCACTACAGAGAGAGCGAAAGAAAGAGTTAATTCTGTACATTCTCAAAAGACCATCACATGGACTTACTTTCCAACCATTCAAAGTGATTATGCAGACTACATTTTTACATTTTCTGAGGTTTTAACCACCATAGACATTGATGGGGATGCGGTGGGTTTTGGGGTTTTATGGGTTTTTCAGTGACCAAGTCTTTAAACTTTACCTTAGGTATTCTGAGTGGTTGTTATGCTGTTGCTAGGTTATGGGTGGCTGCTAGGGTGTTCTGAGTGGTCGACATAACTTTGTTATGTGGTTTCTAAGGTGTTCTAATAGAAAATTTCTTAAACAAGCTAAAACGCATAATTAACCCCAAAATTGGTGAATTACTCATCCTTATGTCATTCCAAACCCATAAGACTTTCGTTCATCTTCGGAACACAAATAAAGATATTTTTGATGAACTCTGAGAGCATTCTGTCCTTACATTGAAAGCTACGCAACTGACACTTTAAAAAGATCGTAAATCTATATGAATTGAGCGGTTTAGTCCAAAATTTTCTGAAGAGACGCGATCACTTTATATGATGAACAGATTGAAGTTAGGCCTTTATTCACATTTAAACATTCATCAACTCACACATCAGTTGTGGTAAACGCAACGGAAGCTCAAGCATGTTCACTTGACATGCAAGAACCAATGAGGTTCATTCTCGTGTTGCGCAACACATTTGAGCTTCCGCAAGAACCAATGAGGTTTGTTCTTGCGCGTCAAGCAAGTACTGTTGAATTTCTCTTTATGTTCACTGATCAATGTTTATTTGTGATTAAAAGCCTAAATTTAATCTGTTCATCATATAAAGCGATCAAGTCTCTTCAGAAAATTTGGACTGAATCACGATTTACGATTTTACAATCTCTTTATGAATTTGTTTTATCGTTAAAGTGGTAGTTGCGTAGCTGTCAATGGAGGGACAGAAAGCTCACAGATTTCATCAAAAATATCTTCATCTGTTTTCCGAAGATGAACAAAAGTCTTACAGGTTTGGAATGAAATGAGGGTGAGTAATGACAGAATTTTCATTTTTGGGTGAACTATCCCTTTAAGCCACACAATTTGAGGTATGCATGAGCAAGATTTCTACAATAGGATTTAAAAATATCATTAACATTAGCGATTTCTAGTGCCTAGCTGTTATTATGCATTTGTGGTAATTAGTTAGCACAAATGGTATGGGGGGGTTGTCTTGCCAATGGGGCGGTCTGTGGCATTTAGACCTGGGCTTGTGTCCAGTGTGACTGCCAGAAGGGATTGCAGCAGCTTTTCCAATTAAAGCCTGGCTACTACCCCTCTCGCCTCACCTTGGATTACACACAAAATAATGCTGAGAAATCTGTAAACAAAAGACATATAGCACACAGTAAACGTATGAAGCGAGAGAATTTGAAAACGACATGCACACTAAGATGTGACATTAAAGAAAAATTCAAGGTTTGATTACAAAAAGCCTGTGTAAAATGTTGAGGCGACGCCCATGACTGAGGTGGCCCACAGATATTCCCCTCCCTGTTGTGCATTAGTGCTGATTTATGAGTCTGTTATTTGTCTAATCCTATGGACAGTGTCCCTCTGTACCAGTATTAAAAAAAAAGAGGGATTACATCCTTATTGTGGTCACACAAACACACTACACACCTCGAGTGCTTTTATACGGCCATCACTGGTGCAGGGGGGGATTGGGCCTGGGCCACAGCTGACACAAGGGCTCCTATCATCCCCCCATGATGGGCAGAGATGACTCAAATGCACAGTCATACACCAGAACCCAGCAACTGAGATGCACTGAATCAGCAAGATTCCTAGTGTCATCCAGACATACCAGTTCATGACCGTATTACAGACAGCCCCTCCTATGCTTTTAATAAATACAAATTCTGAAATCATTTACTCACTCTCATCTCATTACCAATCAACCAAAATCTTCTATCCAATGAAAACAATATGAGATGTTTAGCAGAATGTCCAAACTAAAGCATACATTTCGGTCTGTTCTTCACACAATGCTATCGTCTGGCTTCAGGAGATTTAGTGTATAAGTCATTTGGACAACTGTTATGGTGATTTCTGCCTTTTTGGAGCTTGAAAGCCCCAGTCCCTATTCATGTTCATTTTCTACTTGGGCATATTTCTGTCTTACATTGAATTTCTTCATTTATTTTTTAAAAGAAATACTTTAGATAGACATTTACTTTATAAAGAAAGCATTTTTTGTCAACAAAACCATAGTGGTTGTACCATGTAAAAGCATCACTGCACCATGGTACTTCTTTTGTAAGGGAAAGACCGCCAGTAAAGGTAGTCATAAGCCAAATGTCTGTTTGCCGTTTATGACATACTGCTTTTTCACAATGACAGGTTCAAACTTTTCCCATTGAGTTTTTTGTTGGTTAATAAATTCTCATTTGACACATCACACATTGAATCACACACAATGAGAAGGATAAAATTGGTCATAGTGAAAGCAAATGGTCTCCAGGGGCAAGTCCGTATACCCCACTCCCCCCATACACCCGCCCAGAGTGCTCTGCGAGCCTGTTTCATTGTGTCTCTTTGGCACATGCTGCACTACAGCAAATTCAGGATGTGTCTTATACTTCACACTCACACACACTGCAACCTCCTGAGTATTAGAGAAGAGTACCATGCAGTTTAAATCTCATATAGACAATAAAGTTCCGCTCACATTTGCTACCAATTCGCATTTAAATATTTTTAAAATAGACAATTTGGAACTAACCCAAAATTACCCTAATAGGAATTTTCTTGTAAGATTATAAAATCTTTTCCAGATCTTTTAGAACACTTACTGTAACGCCCAATAGCTCCCTACTTACTATTCCCAATAAGACAAAATATCTCATCAATTTTTTTTTTTTTTTTGTGAGTTTGTGATTTCTCTTAACTGTCCAGTAACAAGACGGTATTCCATTACAGTTGTAATAAAAAATACACAACATATACCAGGACATAAGATCTTAATTGATTTTTGGGGATTCTTATTTGATCCCATTAGTATGGGTTTCAGATTAGAAATCCTGTAGGAGGCACATTCCTTTAGCATTTTTTGACAAGGGCAAATTGTTCCTGGTAAGAGATATAGCCTATTACTATTATTTTTTAATTTTTTTACTATTAGCCTGTATTTTGCTTTATTATCACTTATGTTGATGTATTACATTTAGATATATGGTTAATTTATATATCTAAATATATATATATATATGCATGCTGCCTCGAACCTTGAACCATGACTGGTCACCCACTAACATTCCCAAAAATCTGTCTTTATACATCTGACATTAAAGTAACTCACTAGACATTTGCATAACTACACGAAATACGTGTCGATCAACACGTTTTTCTTTTAAAGTAAAAGTGTACCGGCGTTTGACTTACCAGTGGTACAGTGCTCTGCTGCTGCTGTGTGAGTGTGTGTGGGTGGGCGTGGATGCTGCAGGATCGCGCTGCTCTCCGTGTCTTTGTCTGCCGCTTCAGCTGCTCTGCCTGCGATGCCTCTCTACCGGCACACCGCGCGGTCCTAGCGCCGCCCCGCACACGCCCACTGAGCACAGTCAACACCCACTGCAGGCTGCGTCCAGAAACATCTGCATTCATGTGTTAATACACCGTTAACGAGTCAATAACTCAACTTGAAGCTGAATGTGCTACAGTTAAAGATGTTATTGACTGCTGAGTACACAATTATTGACTAGCCTATAGGCTACTTAACACTGCTTATATTTTCAATCAATAGGCCTAGTTTGTGAAAAAAGTAGGCCTATATTAAAACCTTTCACAAGAATACTTTAATTTAAAAAATCCAGTTATCATAATTGTTATTTAGTCTAATTGACCTAAATTGTTTTGAAATGACATGAGGGTGAGTAAATAATAACTTTTTGTTTGTCTATCACTTTAATAACATTTCTAATGAGTCAAAAGAACCTAACCTTGTAGTGGAACGCACTGCAATCAATGTTCACAATAGAATACCTTACCGTGTACTGAAAGTTGGCACATTGTGTGCCTATATGTTTGATTTTTCCTCTTGTGTTGTGTGTATAAGAAATCGCTAGCAAAGCGACTTCAGTGACAAAAGAACTGACATCTTTTATATTTATAGGCCTATATATTTGAAAGACCACTTGAGCATACTATAAACATTTACATCATTACATAATTTCCTGTCTGCAACAATGGAAGAAAGTGGAAGTAAATAAGGGCAGTTGTGGCCTAATGGTTAGAGAGTCAGGCCCTGTCCCACATGGCACACTTCATATGCCCTTACAGACTTGTGGACTTACAATGGCTGCCACGTGCGCATGTCCGTTAAGTCCATGAGACCGTAGGGTGTCGCATTTGTCATTTTAAGTGTCGGAAGGGTATACTGAGCCCTCTTTGCAGTCGAGATGTGCCCTCGCCGAGCCCCTACTGAAGCTCTGCAGTAGACTTCTTCCCGACAGTCAAAGCGGCATTATGTCACGAAAGTGCGGACTCGTAGGAAAACCAAGAGTGTTTAGGGTGCCATTTGGGACAACCAGATTGGTGCGGGTTCGATTGTCAATACCGGCAGGAAATGACTGGGGTGCCTTTGAGCAAGGCTCCTAACCCCCAGTCGCTCCCCGGGCGCCACAGGAAAATAGCAGTCCACTGCTCTGGGTTTGTGTTCACTACTCACTACTCACAATGTGTGCGCACTAACTTGGATGGGTAAAATTCAGAGGACAATTTCCGAGTATGGGTTACCATACTTGGCCTTCACATCACTTTCACTTTAAGAAACAAAGGGAGATTGTGGGGAAAACGGACAAATTTTTTATTCCTTGATCTAGTTTAATCCCATGTTTGCATATTGGTGGCTATTTACCTTCGTTTTACATGAGCAATTCTGGCATAATTTGAATTCCTTGATCTAGTTTAGACCTATGTTTGCATATTGGCCACATGAATTTGAGCAATACAATGCTCTATGATTTTTACCAAGCATATTTTCTCATTATTTTCAACACAGGTAGGCTGTGCACAGATTTTAGTCCAGATGAAACTGTATTCATCATCATCCAGGACCAGAACTTGTATATTTGATGTTTATCAGTGACACTAATGCCATTGCTTACTAGAGTTGTTATTTTAAACTAGATATACATTACTTTGAACTGATAAACTTACAAATAACAATTTCACAGTAAAATATAAAACAAAACTAATCACTTTGTAGATATTTTCAACCACATTAAACATCATAAAATGTAGCATCTGGCACAGGAGAGTGGGATGAAAATAATAATAATGTACAACAACAGAAGTGACTTATGTTTTAAATGTCATTAGCATAACATTTTATTTTTTTATTTGTTTAATAAAGTATTGAAAGGACAGTTAATGTCTATCACAATATATTGCCCATTTGGTTGGGTTTGAGAATTCATAAATGAGACTGTCTACACAGTAATTAGTAAAGAAATCGCATTCTGAATGTTTTCATTATTATATATAGTTTTAACAAAATTACATTATGTAAAAATACAATAAACTGTAGGTTTGTAACTTTGGCATCACCTTGTTATTAATGTCATATTATTTATTTTTATATATATCATTTTTAAAAATCATTTAGTAACACACATGCACTTGCAAACAGTTTTTTTTTTTTTTTGCTTTGAAGAGTCCGTAACTGTAAAGCCTGCTGCATGTGGGTTAAGGGACACAGTTATTCATTGCTCATTGTACAGATCTATGACCTCTTCACTTCAAAGATTCAAATATTTGGACCAAATCATTGAGCAAACACATGCCCTGTGATGTGTCAAATCGATGATAAAAGAAGATTAACTGTGTGACATTATAACCGTTTACGAATAACACACTCACACTCAACCCTTTTAATGGCAGCAACAGTCTGTGAGAACAACATTTGGATTCATGCCAAGATTAGCGCAGTTGCCAATAGAAACCACAGTTGGATGACACACTCATTACTCATTATTTATGTCGATTGACAATACAGAAACTATATGTGACATCACTGAGTTTGAGTATGATGGGAATTACAGTTTTTTACAATCACTTTGTTACTATTTTCAGAACCTTGATGTCATTTTTCACAACTCTAGACACAAAACTCACAACCAATGATCAAAAAGCACATTTTTCAAAACTCTAACCCTTTTCTCAATTGCTTGGATACAATACACATAAAACTTAGATCATTTGTTCATTTAACAAAAATCACCTGTTCAATATGACACAACTTAACATCAAAGTACTACTTTCAAAAGGCAATTCACACATTACATTTCAAATGAGTGTCTATTCATTTCCTTACAATGATCTAACTATCAATTGATACAACTGCTCAAAATGATAAGTAACTGTTGCATTACTCTTAATGCATAGTTGTATGGAAACAGACACACAATCTTCCATGTTTACAGTAAATCATGAAAGTTTCAAGATAATGAGATTCATTGTCACCAATTAGCATGGCATGAACCAATTAGACTACAATATCCATGGATGTAGCCTAATATTTTATCATACTGTAATGCTTCATCAGACACTGTGTCTATGGTGCCAAATACTGTACCACCTTTTCAGACTATGTACAGTATTGACAGTACAGTACTGTATAGATGCAGGCCCTTGTAACTGCGTGTCCAATTCTGCCAATCACAGCAGAGCAGTGTCAGGCCTGGACTCGCCATGCCAAAGTTTTTTTCCAAGATGTCATTTTCCAACATCCATTGTGATGTAGATGAGAACCTGTGGCCAAATCCACAACACAGAGTTGATGACAGTGTAGAAGTACAGTAATCACTCCTGTTTAGTTTCTTACAGCAAGTTGAGGAACACTGCATTTGATGTTTTACAGTACTGTCTTTTCTTTTCTATTTCATAGCTAATTATATTTTTGCTTTGATTCAAAAAACCATGTTGTGATTGCACTGTAGTGTTTTGCATCAATATATTACAAACTTTGTTCACAATGATTCCACTGTGTCTGTAATATTCTCTCTACTACTGCAGTACTTTTACAGAGATGTATTTACTGTACATGTAGTACCATAATGAAACCTGTATCACCTATTTTGCTCTACAATATTTAATGATTGTACGAACAATGACACAGTGAAACTATCGGTTGCTTGTGTGTGGGTGATCTATAGTTATGTTTCAATGGTATTTCACAGTTAATTTGTTTTTTGAACCAATGATTGTGCAAGTGCAAGATTTCTTTAAAGATGTGAATGCACAATGCAATGTTTTGAACATTAGACAGCCTGTGTTACAAGTGATTATCGTTTTGAGTTTTGTGTCTAGAGTTTTGAAAAATGACATCAAGGTTCTGAAAATAGTAGCAAAGTGATTGTAAAAAACTGTAAGTTGAGCAACTCCAAAGCATCATGGGCAGGTTTGTGTGTCTACATGTCTCTATATAATAATGGTGTCTGTGTGTGTGTGTGTGTGTGTCTGTGTGTGTGTGTGTGTGTGTGTGTGTGTGTGTGTGTGTGTGTGTGTGTGTGTGTGTGTGTGTGTGTGTGTGTGTGTGTGTGTGTGTGTGTGTGTGTGTGTGTGTGTGTGTGTGTGTGTGTGTGTGTGCGTGTGTTTGGGATGAGAAAGACCATTCGCATCACTTCCTGACTCTTGACCTACCTGTGCTTAGGAATTTTGTCATACTGAAACACGCCTCAGTAAAAATAATAGCCAAAAGAAGAGGCTTTGCCTATTCCAGCCATGTCATTCTGACACATGAAAGCTTGTTCTCCCCTTCCCTTCTAATGAGGTTTAATTGGCCTTAACTTCTCTTGATTTGTCTGTAATGGCAGAATGAAAACAATGAAGAAGAACACACATTAATGCACACACACTCACTGGACATATTTAAACATTTAAGAGTGCTAATTATTTTGTGGCATGTCTACCCCATGTCTTTTGTATCTGTGTTAAGATACAATTGTTTGAAATTGGTGGTTTGCATAAAATCATTCTCTCTTTTTCTCTTAATTCCAGAAGTAACAACGAGATATAGTTCCTTTAGGCTTGAAATGGGCTGCGTTTAACACCACTTTTAGACATACACTCGCAAACTTCCCCAAGCACTTCCCCATGGTGGAATCCCTGCCACCATTTTGAAGGGGATTAAACTTCTTCAAGTAGACAAGGGAAGTTTTTTTGTACAGACCCTTGACCCATCGATTTTGACAGAGGGAGCGAGTCTACTCATATGTACACTTCAGGCAGCTCCATAGACCACAATACAACACGATTGTGACGTCCCAGCAGCAACTCGCAGTTATCCTACTTAATTTACCCACAAGTGATCAAGGGCATAGGGAATTCCATTTAAACCCATTGCAAGAGTTCTGGCACTCGTGCAACGTAAGCAATGACTTACATCCAAGTGAACGAGAAGGAGAGAAGTTAGCAAGGGAAGGGCATAATAAAGTGTATAAATTAGTTCAAATTAGCAGTAATAATTTACTCCACCCTCATGACGTTCCAAACCTATATGGCTCTCTTGTGTAACA